AACACTGAGGGTTGCAATCCGTTGCCGGACACGGAAAAAGACAAAAGACAAAAGACAAAAAAAAAAAAAAAAACCATTGGGGACCGGCCTGTGGCTCACTCGGGAGAGTGCGGTGCTGATAACACCAAGGCCACGGGTTCAGATCCCTATATAGGGATGGCTGGTTTGCTCACTGGCTGAGCGTGGTGCTGACAACACCAAGTCAAGGGTTAAGATCCCCTTACCGGTCATCTTTTAAAAAAAAAAAAAAAGAACCATTGAACTCCCTGGAGAGAGAAAAGTGGATTATCAGTGGTTCTGCATGGAAGTGGAAACAACCTTGCTATTGGACATGGACAAAAATAGTTATGGATTATAGTTACAGAGCCCTTAGAGCCTTTACCCACTGCCCTGGGGTGTGTTCGTGTCTATTCATGCCACATAACTGAGCAGGCACAGAATTGGTCATTAGAATTCTGTCTGGTGACCACGATATTATCTTCCTAACCCCCATTTTAGTCTAACTCCTCCATTCACAACTGTCCCTGTTCTTAGCAGTCCCCTTGGGCAGCTGGCAGAAACAATCCAAGCTTTAGGTTAGGGACCAGAATTCTCTATTTCTGCCCTCAGCCTGTCCTCAGTAAATCCATTTAGAGTGAATGGCTTTCTTTCTTTAGGCCTTAGTTTTTCTACTCTGCAAGATGGGGAGAAATGAAGCCACCTCCTCTAACTAGGCTGTGGTAGTTTTTCCCCTGTGACAGAGTTGCAAACAGAGAACATAAGAGCCATTTTCCCCCAAAGCTGTAAACAACAGCTGAGCCGGATCTGCAGGAGCTTTCCAAGCATTTGCACAAAAGTAACCATGTCTGCAATTTCCGCAGCAGTTACTGGGGTTTTTTTTTTTTTTTTTTTTTTTTTTTTTTTTTTTTTTTTTTTCTCTTCCCTTCCTCTCCGGGGAGCCCAGCTGTCAGGCCTGGGGTCTGTCCCTTGGAAGCAGGTAGAAGAATATCCACCAAGATTTTGCATGTTTCCATTATATTTCAGTTGCAGTCTTTTCCCAAACTCCTAGTTCATAAGTTGTATACTTAGCAGTTTGTTTGAAGCTCATATCAAACACTTTTTCTTACTCCTGGGGACCTTTAAGAATTGTAACACAAACAAGAACCATCTTTTCTCTCCCTGGTGCTGCACCTTCCAAGGCCATTGGCCTGGGTCACGTCCTGCACACCCCAGGAAATTCATGTCTGGGAGATGCTGGGGGGAGAGGCGCCAGGGAGGCCGAGAACGTTATTATGTCTGATTCATTTACACTGCAATCCCTCAGCCATCGTGCTGTCAAGGCTGGGCTAGAGCCAAGAAAATGAGTTTAGAGGGTGATTTTTCTTAGAACAGGAAGTTCCATTTGGCTAAGAGAGAACAAACTAAACACCCAGACACAGTGGGTTCTGAAGCTTAGAGGTAGATTCTTGCCGAGGGTCAGAGCCTTGCCCTCAAGCAGGACTTGTGATACTAGGACTCTGGGAAGGTCCTACAGCTCTCTTCAGGATCCCCTGATTCTAGATCAAACTTCTGTTATGTTCCGTGGAACTTCCTAGCTACTGAAGCTAAGAGCACCCTAGACAGGGAGGGGCCTAGACCACTTCACCCTCCCAAATGCTAGCCTCTCTACAGCACCACTACCTAGCCCTGAGGTCTTAAGGCACCCTAGTCTGATGTCAGGGTTAGGGGAAGGTTCAGAGTAGGGAAAGGAAATGTAGGATCTTCTTGAGGGGAGGCAAGCCAGTCCCCCAGATGAGGAGAGGCCAATGCAGAAAAGTACACAGGAACCCAGGGGTTCTCAGGGTCTCTCATGAGTAAATTTCCAGGGCCTACAAGCAGCCTGTTTACAGACATATGCAGGGAAGCAAACAAGAAAAGATCTGAAGTCAAGAAGACAGAAGTTCCCTGTACAGTAGGTGAAAGTAAACTGCTCAGGTCATGACATGTATCAGCTAAGGAGCCCAGGCCTTGAAAGACTTAGTAAAATAAATTTACAGATTTGCAGTAAAAGTGGAAGAAGGGGGCTCAGATGGGACCAAAGGGATTGCCTGCAGCCATGGTGCGATGAAAGTAGGCTCCACACATGTTTCAAGGGCAGGGGGTGAAAACTAGAGTTGACCCAACAGGAGGGAAAATTATAAGCCAACAGGAAGCAATAAGAGGGTCACAGACATCCTAGGGCTCTTTATGAAGGACCTGCCCAGAATATGTCCATCACTTCTCGCTAGGGTCACCATTTGCTCAGATATCCTTACTGATGCTGTTTTTCCATCCCCTAGTGTTCCCCTTTCTAATCCCATGCCTCATGCCCTTCACATTTCCCATATATCTTGCTGCCAATTGGCCAGCTAGAGTTCAAAACACGCTCCGCGTGGCCTCAGCTCCACTCAGCACCTTTCCCCAGCCTGCCTTTTATCCGGAAGGCCCACCCACAGTCTTCACTCCTTATAGGACAGACCTGACACCTAGCGGCCAAACGGTGGCATGCCTCAGCCCTGCACAGCGGAGCCTGCAGAAACCAAGAACAAGCAGCAGCTCCAAAGCAAGAGCAGGTTAAGCAGTGAAGGGCCACTCTGGGAGCAGAGGTGGAAGAGACGCACCAAATAGCTTTCACTGGAAGGTTATTTAGACCCATGAGGAGTTAAACCAAAATAGCAGAAACCATCCCAGAGGCGATGGCCCTCCCACCAAGCCTGCCGCCCCACACATCGCATAGAGCAGAGGTCCAGCACTCGTAGGTGATAGACACTAGATCTCGTGTCCCCAGGAGCCTCCAAAACCTGCCCTACCTTCATGCTGTCTGCATTATTCAAGAAACTATTTCCCACCTTCTTTGATTCCACCTGTCTCCCCAGGGAAGTCAGTATTTTAAAATCAGTAAGAGCTTTGTTGGCATCGGTCGTCTCTGACACAGAAAATCGGTTACTTCCCATGTCAGTCATTTCCTTTCTCCAGCCTCGTACAACTTAGGAACCTCTTTATGTGTTTGTTTCAGGCTAATCTAGTGGCTGCTTTCGAGCAGAGTCTGGTGAATATGACATCCCGCCTGCGACACCTGGCAGAGACAGCCGAGGAGAAGGTGAGAGGCCTGGGACGGGGAGGAAAGGAGGCAGCGCGGGTGCCGCTGGACACACAGGCGCAGGCTCACCTCCCCCCACTCGTGGATGCCAGTTCCTCCCTCCCTTGCTGTCGTCCTGGATTCTCAACCTGCCCCTCAATGCAATGCAAGCAGATTCCTTGCCCTGATTCCCTGACCTTCTCTGTCATGTTTGGTAGAATTCCAGTGCCTACCCCGTTGCCTGGCACATTGTAAGTGCTCCTGTTAATCCCAACTAATGACACTTATTTCTGTTTCTGTCGTAGGACACTGAGCTGCTGGATTTGCGAGAAACCATAGACTTTCTGAAGAAAAAGAACTCTGAGGCTCAGGCAGTCATTCAGGGAGCACTTAATGCCTCAGAAACCACACCCAAAGGTAGGACATCCAGCCACAGATCGGGGAAGAGCAGGAATGGGTGAAATCTTATTGCAGATTTTTACCTGGGCTCACAATATACCAGGTCCCATGTCAAATTTCTAGAAGGTGAGGGCACTTAGAGGCCCTTCAGTGTGGACTGGCATTGACGAGTGCCATGGGCGTGACTCCACCATCCCAGGGCGAGTGGAAGAGACCTGTAGTCCCCATAGTCCTCTCTTCAACCATTAGGCCAGAGCCAAAGAGCTGTCAAAGGCAGTCATTAAAATAACACTTCACATTTTTACATGAATGTGTTGTGTGTCCACACACATGTACATAATCTTGCTTGATCCTCACTTTGTTCTGCAAGGGGGGTGCAATCGACTCGTTAAAAGAGACAACCAAAGCTCACACAGGTTCCATGGGACTCAGATGGCAAGTTAGCCCTGGCACTTAGCAACCAGTCAAGCTTTGCTACAGACAGTCAAGGTGGATGGTAGATGGCTGCCACAAAACCTGTGACCTCTCCCTCCAGTCAGGGCCTCAGGATAGCTTGGCAGTCCTCTTGTCCATAGTCACTTTTCTTTTTGTTCCACTGTCAGTGACTCCCGACTTCACCACTTCTCTCAAGCTCCTCTTCCTACCGCTGACTTGCCTCACTCTGAACATAGCCTTTGCCTCCTCCTTGTTTAAGGAAATGAACGTCTTCAAGTGAGAACTCCATTGACTATTCCCACTCCATCAATTTGATCATTATTTATTTTCCTCCCATTTTGTTGGAAGGAGCTATCCCTTCCAGCCGAGAGGGACCTCTTATCTAGTGCTTTGAGATGCTCCCTCCAGCAGTTATGTATACTCCTCACACACACACACACACTTTGCCATCTCTCTGACCTCTTATTGTCTATCCACCCCTTCTCCACTGCTTATGAACCTGCTAAAGGCTCTTATATCTTAAAGAGGAAAGAGATGTATCACCCTATGTCCTTTCTAACCATAATCTTATCTCCTTCCTTCCTTCGCAGTCGACTTTATCTTTCCACCTCCCTTTCACATCTAACCCCACTATAATTAATGCTTCTGTCATTGTCACCCTACCAAAACAACTTTCTTTTTTTGTGTGTGTGTGTGACCGGTAAGGGGATCGTAACCCTCGGCACGGTGTCGTCTGCACCACGCTCAGCCAGTGAGCGCACCGGCCATCCCTATATAGGATCCGAACCCGCGGCCTCTGCCCTCCCAGCACCGCACTCTCCCGAGTAAGCCACGGGGTCGGGCCCTACCAAAAGTACTCTAACTAAATTCACCATTGACCCCATTTTTACAAAATCCAACTTAGAACTTTTAGTGCTTATTTTGCTTGACTTCTATAAAATGGAGATGATAACACCTACCCAGAAGGTTGTTGTATTAAATCAGAGCATATATGTTAACATTCACTGCAGTGCCAGGCATATAACAGTTGCTCAAAAAATGCCTTTCCTACACACGCGCGCGCACACACACACACACACACACACACGCATGCACTCACTGCTGATCCCCCAAGAGTTCCAAGATTTGGCCCTTTTAATGCCTCCTTTCTTCATTAAATTCTCCCTTCCCCTAGCTTCTGAATCACCATTCCCATGTTGGTCTCTTCCTCCTATTCTGACTCCTTCATGGAACCTCCTTANCCTGGGCTCACAATATACCAGGTCCCATGTCAAATTTCTAGAAGGTGAGGCACTTAGAGGCCCTTCAGTGTGGACTGGCATTGACGAGTGCCATGGGCGTGACTCCACCATCCCAGGGCGAGTGGAAGAGACCTGTAGTCCCCATAGTCCTCTCTTCAACCATTAGGCCAGAGCCAAAGAGCTGTCAAAGGCAGTCATTAAAATAACACTTCACATTTTTACATGAATGTGTTGTGTGTCCACACACATGTACATAATCTTGCTTGATCCTCACTTTGTTCTGCAAGGGGGGTGCAATCGACTCGTTAAAAGAGACAACCAAAGCTCACACAGGTTCCATGGGACTCAGATGGCAAGTTAGCCCTGGCACTTAGCAACCAGTCAAGCTTTGCTACAGACAGTCAAGGTGGATGGTAGATGGCTGCCACAAAACCTGTGACCTCTCCCTCCAGTCAGGGCCTCAGGATAGCTTGGCAGTCCTCTTGTCCATAGTCACTTTTCTTTTTGTTCCACTGTCAGTGACTCCCGACTTCACCACTTCTCTCAAGCTCCTCTTCCTACCGCTGACTTGCCTCACTCTGAACATAGCCTTTGCCTCCTCCTTGTTTAAGGAAATGAACGTCTTCAAGTGAGAACTCCATTGACTATTCCCACTCCATCAATTTGATCATTATTTATTTTCCTCCCATTTTGTTGGAAGGAGCTATCCCTTCCAGCCGAGAGGGACCTCTTATCTAGTGCTTTGAGATGCTCCCTCCAGCAGTTATGTATACTCCTCACACACACACACACACTTTTTTTTTTTTTTCCTTCTTGTCTTTTTTCGTGACCGGCAACGGATCGCAACCCTCAGTGTCGCGCCCATCCCGGACCGGGACCGGCAACGGGATCGCAACCCTCGGTGTTGCACCCGCACCTCGCTCAGCCAGTGAGCGGCCGGTCTGTATGTGGGATCTGAACCCTCGGCGGGAGCACCGCCACGCTCCCAAGCGGCGCACTGTAGCAGTGCGCCACCGGGCCAGCCCTACACACACACACTTTGCCATCTCTCTGACCTCTTATTGTCTATCCACCCCTTCTCCACTGCTTATGAACCTGCTAAAGGCTCTTATATCTTAAAGAGGAAAGAGATGTATCACCCTATGTCCTTTCTAACCATAATCTTATCTCCTTCCTTCCTTCGCAGTCGACTTTATCTTTCCACCTCCCTTTCACATCTAACCCCACTATAATTAATGCTTCTGTCATTGTCACCCTACCAAAACTACTTTCTTTTTGTGTGTGTGTGTGTGACCGGTAAGGGGATCGTAACCCTCGGCACGGTGTCGTCTGCACCACGCTCAGCCAGTGAGCGCACCGGCCATCCCTATATAGGATCCGAACCCGCGGCCTCCGCGCTCCCAGCACCGCACTCTCCCGAGTAAGCCACGGGGTCGGGCCCTACCAAAAGTACTCTAACTAAATTCACCATTGACCCCATTTTTACAAAATCCAACTTAGAACTTTTAGTGCTTATTTTGCTTGACTTCTATAAAATGGAGATGATAACACCTACCCAGAAGGTTGTTGTATTAAATCAGAGCATATATGTTAACATTCACTGCAGTGCCAGGCATATAACAGTTGCTCAAAAAATGCCTTTCCTACACACGCGCGCGCACACACACACACACACACACACACACGCATGCACTCACTCACTGCCGATCCCCCAAGAGTTCCAAGATTTGGCCCTTTTAATGCCTCCTTTCTTCATTAAATTCTCCCTTCCCCTAGCTTCTGAATCACCATTCCCATGTTGGTCTCTTCCTCCTATTCTGACTCCTTCATGGAACCTCCTTAAGGTACTGGTATTTCCCAAAGCTCCAGCCACAGCTTTATTTCTTATGACTTAACACAATTTCTCTGGTGTTCACTTCTATCTTGTAACTTCTATAACCTCTCCTTTTTAAAAAAATTGAGATATAATTCATATACCATAAAATTCACCTTTTTAAAGTATACAATTCAGTGGTTTTTGAGCATATTCAAAGGTTGTGCAACCATCATCACTATCTAACTCTAGAACATTTTCACCACCTCAAAAAAAAAATAAGTCTCACTCCCCATTCCCCCCTCATTTCATTCCCTGGCAACCACTGATCTATTTTCTGTCTGTATGGATTTGCCTATTTTGGACATTTAATGTAAGTGGAATCGTACAATATTTGGTCTTTTGTGATTGGCTTTTTTCACGTAGCAAAATGCTTTCAAGATTCATGCCTGTTGTGTCATCTGTCAGGACAGCATTACTTTTCATGGCTGACTGATATTTTGCTGTATGGATATACATTTTGTTTACACATTCATCAGTTGATGGACATTGTGTGTTTTCACTTTTTGGCTATTATGAACAATGCTAATATGAACATTCATGTACAAGTTTTTGTGTGACCATATGTTTTTAGTTTTCCTGGTAATATACCTAGGATTGGAATTGCTGGGTCATATGATAACTGTGTTTGACTTTTTGAGAAATTGCCAAACAGTTTTCTAAAACAGGTGCACCATTTTACATTCCTACTGGCAATGTATAAGGGTTCCAATTTCTCCACATCCTTGCCAACACTTTTATCACCCTCTTTTTTGTTACAGCCATCCTAGTGGGTGTGAAGTGGTATCTCATTGTGCTTTTGATTCTAATTTTCCTGATAGCTAAGGACGTCAAGCATCTTTTCACATGCTTATTTGCAAGTTATATGTCTTCATGGAGAAATGTCTTTTCAAATTGTTGGCCCATTTTTTTCATCAGTTTATTTGTTTTTTATACTCTGGATACTAGACCCTCATCATATATATGATTTACAAATATTTTCTCCCATTATT